AATATTTTTTATTGAAACTAAAAGATTACATACTTAATTACCCTAAAAATAATCTAATTAATGGTGTTATGACAATATTGACATGGAATGTTATTATAAGTAATGATTCATTGTCTCATTGTCTCTCTCTAATATGGATAAATATATAATTATGGCTTCCTCATCCGTCATACTCGTGAACGATTGCTGCTTGTGTAGATAAGTCTGAGTCCGCGTAACCTCTGTAGATTAAAAAATTAAATTATTATTTATTATTAAATTATTTCCTCAGAAAATATATGTATATTAGTTATAGCAAAAACTATTACATTTTACTTTAATATTGCAAATTTTTTATTACTCTTTTGATATTAATATATTTAAAAGTTTTTTCTTTATTCTATAATCAAAAATATAAAAACAAATTATTATAGTCACTCTCTCTATCTACCATAACATTAAAATACAAATATATGTTTTATTACATATTTCTACAACATTCGTTATCAGCACGAAGAAAAATCTATTACATTTATAATACTGGGAATAATTTTTGTGGTAATAAAATATTGATAAAATGATAATATACGGCATAGAAATTCAAAATGAAGATGCTTTAGATGGTGAAAATAGCTATTTTTTGCTATAATAGAATAACTAGTATATTTTCTGTGACATAGATATTTAATCTTCCTGATATGAAAGAGATAACAGTTCTTGTCATTTGGGAGGTTTGACATCACGTTTTGTACCATTAGTAATGGCTAGTGACTTTGGAAATGGTGGAAAGCAAGTTGTTAACAGATGTCTTCGCAATTAAAAGAGAAAAAGTAGAGGCCTATTATATTTTTAAATGTTTGAATGAAAAGGGACAAGAAGGGAAATGTACAAAATAAAACAGGATATTAAAGATACAACGGATTACCTTTGTCCTGTAGTTGTAGATTGGAAAACAGAAATTGTGACAAATGGATAATTTATTTGATCAGTATATATGAGTCACACATGGTGAATTTTATTCATTTCTTGTTTTACCGGGAGGATATGTTGAGAAAACTCTTTTGATATTAATATATTTAAAAGTTTTTTCTTTATTCTATAATCAAAAATATAAAACAAAAATTATATTGTGTTACTCTCTCTATCTACCATAACATTAAAATACAATTTTCAGTCATTAATAGTACAAAATAGCAATATTTTTTGTAATAGACGTTAAAAGAATAACAGATGTCGGTATTTTTAAGTTTGGACGGGAGACAAAAACTTTCCCAGACGCTAGTAGCCACAAAGTCGTTGATTAAAGTCTAACTTTTTTCATTTCTTGTTTTACCAAGTGGTTCGTATTGTAATAGACGGACGCTAAAGGAGACGAAACTACGTAGCAGATTGCGTCGGTTAATGGGTCCTAAGACTTGCCCCAAGCTGTTCTTTATTTGTATTTGTATACTTTTCAAATAATGTGCGTATTGATACTGTACTTATAGTTTGCACTAGTGTCCTGATAGTCTATATTTTCATAGATATTCTTATATATTTATTTAGGGCACTGGAATTGTTCTAAGTTGAAAACTACAAAATAGGCATCTTAAATATCTCAAATAACAACATGTGAGTTGAAATGATAACGTATTTATTTATTAACAATAAATTCATCTCAGAACAATTTACACAGCGCCATCTAGTCCCAAGGTAAGCAGAGCTTATGTTATAGGTAGCCAATTAATACATAGCTAATATATATAGAAAACAACAGACTGATACAAAGAACCATATTCGTGAATACAAATGTTTGTATCGTGCGAAAAATCGAACACGTCCATCAGCAGTAACGCGATATGCTAAAATCTCTCGACCACAGAGGCCATATAATACATAAAACAAAATATAAAACAAAAAAAACACTGTACATATATGCCCCATATATGGATATATGACTTGTTTAATTACAACCACACACAAGGTCTCCATGAATTTAATATTTTATAAAAGTTATAAAAGTATAACTCTGGTGTATAATAATAAATAAATAATGCAAGTGGATGTAGAACAAACATTAAGAAGGATCGAATAAAATATCTAGTTTATTTGATCGCTTCAATATGTTGAAACTCAGAAGATAAATTTCTTTTCAAAATCAAATCTTTCAGCGACGGATGGCGCATGAGTTGAACTTTTGCCAATATTTTATTTAAATCACTTCAAGTTTTCATCGTATAAAAATTGTTACCAAATTCTATTTTGATTCAAAATAAAATTTGTGACTGTATAGAAATATGATAATATTTATATATGTGGTTATTAAGAAATCGTTATTCTGTAATATGTTGGGTGAATAAAGTTTAAATTAAACTAATTTCAAATATTTATAATAAATGATATTAAAATACATATATTTTTAAGTAACTAATGTAGATATACCGCTTGTAATGCGATTTTATTTTAAATTAAAAAAGAAATTACTATATATTAGGGATAATTCCTAAATAAGCTGTAAAAATTAAATTCTATACTAACTAGGAACAATTTGTAGTAATCAATAATTGAAACATTGATTGGGTATTACTAAATATTATATAAAGTATTGTAAGCCATAGACTATCACAAGTTACACTATTATTTAACCTACCCTTCAAAATGGTTGACTGGTAAATAACTGGTATTAAGTTCATCATATGTACCTTTTATGTATGTGCATTAAAGCTAAATAAATATATTTTAATTTAGCTATAGAAGGATTTATTTTACACCAATTGATTATATTTATAATTCGAGAGGCTTACTTGTCGGATTGCCTTCGTTAGCAGACGTTACCATTCATGCAGGATTATAAGGTAAATCTCAATATTTACCATCGCGAGTAATAGGATTGAGACCGACATAAGGGCCGTTTTGCCAACCATGAACAATCACCACTGTCGGCACATGTGCTTTAAAATGGGACACATGAATGGAGCTCGGATCGCCGTCTATTAAAATTTGCTTAACAAATGGATTATTTCTAATATTGCTAGATTAATATCCTTATAGAGCATTATCTAGTTTACTTAACCATTAATTATCGGTATTTCTATTATAGTTTCACTACTGGGCAAGAATTTGTTGCACAAATTGGAATTTTCTTTGTATTTCATATATTTTTGTTAATTATTTAAAAGGCAGACAAGCTTACAGTCCATCGAGTAAGTGACAACCCTCGCCTATATACCTATAAAAAAATAGTAGCACGAAACACAGGTCACCATGGGAATTCCGTGTTATCCTTTGCATTGCAATTCCGTAGAAGTAGGTTTGATGCCTCGTACTCAGTCTTCATATATTCTATTGAATGGTACTTCAAATGAAAAACAGCGTATAAAGCAAGTACTTGAAAGCTATAATAGGTGCGACAGAGATATACAACAAAGATTTTGAAACGACTCCGTACAAAATCTGCCCACTGTTTATAAATTATTTTTTCTGAATATGGAGGTTAGAAGGTACTTACCGTGTGTATAATAGAAAGCAAATATTAGGTCTATCTTGTGTGTCCTTTAATGCAGTCGAGATTTGGAGTCTCTTCCAAGTCTATGACCTGTAAATTACCGTAATCATGTACATAATTTAAGTAACTATAAATTTTCTCATAATATTTTTCTTGAGCCAGTGCAACAGTGTATTTTGAAGGCTTTTAAATAAATAAATAGAATATAATATAATACTATTAATTTGATACCACAATAAAATTTGATCCAATTTCTATTGCAAAACACAGTTATTTCTTTTCAGCTTATAAGCTAATTTTGTCATTAATTTATTACAGTTATGTATATCATCATGACCAATGGAAACAACCATTTGATAATCGAAAGCACACAATTCATTGCGACTATTCTAGTTTTTGTAAACATGACTGAATGGTATATATTTCATTCCATAATTTTATCCAAAATCCAAGCAACCAATCCAATCAGCAATCTCAAATCAAATAAAGAATACAAATTGAAAACAAAAAACGAAAATGTTGTTCTACGTTTAGGTTTAAAAACAAAATTAAAATCATTTTATTCTACATGACAAAAATATTGAAATAACAGTCTTTCAAATCAAACACAAACAGTAATCTACATATTTTTAACACAGACTGTGTTTGATATAAAAATATGGAGATTACTTGGAATGGAATATCCGACAAATTTTAAGATAAGTAATCAACAAATTATTACGAAATACTTACCAGAAATAATAAAATCATATGCCAATACATATCTACATCTTGTTCAACATATACAACTTTTTAAACAATGCATATATAGCACATTTAACTTAGTTTAAATGCAAAATAAAATTTTCACCATTTATTTGTACATTTATCGATTTATGGTCATGTTACTACATAAATTTTTATGTATTCATTTTAAGAAAAATCTAATAGAACACAAAAGAGTTTGCATTATTATTTCTATGAATAATATTAATAAATAAATACATACAAAAATAATCTACAAACACAAAAATACATATCTTAAAGTATGCTCACCAAAATATAAGCATCTCAAGTTGATTAATTTGACAGAAGGCTAATATACCGCCGTTACAAAATGGCAGTATACCTAGATATAATGTATCACGCATATTTATTTTTTATCTGTTAGGAATATGTAAAACATTGTATTTGACATATACTAATATGAAACGCGAACAAAGCGGTGGTAAAATATGTGATTAATAAGTAATAGTTACCAGTAATTTCTCCTGATATTTGCTTTATTTAACAAGCGGACTGACAGTCAGATACACTTTAGAGATATAGATACATATTTATAATATTATGTATATAGTATTTGTTTCTAGTAATGATAGTTAGAAAAACTCCTGTAAATTTATAGAAACCGTAACTGTAGATAGTTTTGTTTAATTTTAGATCTGGATTTTTATAAGCTATACTAACTAAGAAAAAAATAAATAATTTCAAATTTTGTTTATTATTTCATTTATTCAGTAATTTAATCATATCCAAGTGTTGTTTAGCCTACTTATATTTAGAAAGGATATCTTCTGCCTGTGTTCACACGATAGAAACCAGATCTGAAAAAGAAAGAGAACATAAGCGTGATTTTATGGTTCCTAATATATATATATATATATGTATAACAAAACTAAAGGTTCATACTTAACATTTCATAGAAGTTTTATATGAACATTTAAATTATTTTAGACTAATAGAAGACTCTAACGACATTGTTCTAAGTTTTAAAATCTGGTAGAGATAATTTGAAACAAAAATGTCGGTATATATCTGAATATATCAAAATTCAGTATATAGTTTTAGTATCACATATAGATATCACACATATATAGAAGTTAACCTATTATCTAATATTAAACTTCTTTATTTCATTGACATATGAAGTTCAAATTAACTGATAGTCATAATTACGGGCAGAAATATAGTAATCATAATTGAAAATGAAAATCTAACACTTAAACTAATTTCAATAAAGTTTACTGTAATAACAATAATAAAAAAAGGAAAATGACATACCCAGATTTTATTAAGTCATCATTGCCTAGAGGGAATGGTGGGCCACGGCATGAGTTGAATCTAACTTGCCAGCTGCTGTAACATTCAGCGCCAATCAGATGGTTGTATGTGACGCTAGCACCAAACAGTTCCCAGGAACGGTCATGGTCGCACAAGAAGGTCAGACAACCAGGCTGGGACCTGCCACCGTTGGGGAAGAAATCAACGTTGGCAACAATGTCGCCAATTCCAAGACCATCGACTCCACCGTTGGTATGGATAGCCTCAACGTAGACACCGTCGTTTTCAGTGATCTTGTTATCATTGTATATCCATAGAGGACCAGCAGGGTCCAAACCTGTATAATGAAGAATTAATTAATAAACGAGATTTATAGATATCTTAAAGAAGTAATATTATTTTACACCAGTTTCTGAGAATATGTATGAAGTAAGTAGACTCTACTAACCAGTAACGCGAGCCACTCTTCCTTCGAGTTCCCTTCCAGCGTTGCCCACAATGTGTGCACCCAAACTGAAACCGGCCAGATGGATGGACTCATAAGGGATACCAGTTACAGAGATGAGGAAACGGACGAACTGTCCCAAACCAACACCAACGTCTGGTACTCCAAGAACTGCTGTCACGTAGTTAGACAAAGCCAAGCGTCTCCAGTCCAAGACAATCACGTTGGCAGGGCCTTTGCCCAAATAAGCTGGAAAGAAATATCATTTTTATGGATTATTTAATTTTATGCAGTTATCATGTTATTAAATCTAAAATATATGCATAAACAGATTTTAAATAACTACTGTGATGTAATAGAAAGAAGCAAATACTTGAAGAACTATCTACATAAATATAATACAATTTACCATCTCTGACAGTTGGGTTGATACCAGCATCCTGACCGCCGAGCCATCCGTGCACAACCACGATGGTGTTGTCTTCAGGGTTGAAGTTTGAATTCCGAATAGATTCAGCATTGTTGATGATCAAAGTTTGTGCCTGGTTAGGATTGATTCTGTAAAAGTAATACGTTTAATTTTAGTAGTTATCGGGATTAAGAGTTTATAATAATTACAAAAATAATTGTACCGTTTAAAAAATAATGTTGCGAAATATAATAAGGAGTTGTGAAATAAACAGAATAATATTTTATGTCTTAGGTTTTATAACAGTTACAAGATTTTATCAGTTTGTAGTCAGCTTGTTTCAAATTCCAGTGCCTTAAAAAGAAAAGACAAGTTGGAGATACAACAATGACCATAAAAATAAATATATATATGAACAATGTATTCGTTTCACATCATTGTGCACACTACAAAATATTTTAAGGTTTTTTAATGACAGTTAATTTTTTCACCTTTGTAGCTTTAAGTGATTTCTGAATAACATGTTGGCACTCTATTATAAAGTTTAAGAACTTACTGAGTAAATAACAAGTAAAGGTTGTTTGCGGGATCCCTCTGGATTTCATCTAAGAGAGCATAATCAGGTTCGGCGTGCAAATCTGCGACATGGGGTAAACCTTCGGCATCGGGGAAGGTGACATACCGGGGGTACAGATCAAGTTCTTCCTTCTTAATCTGCACCGCAGATGCGACGTATGCTAAAAATATCATTTAGAATCCATAAAGAAGAGATAAAAGAACAAATACAACAGTGGATACTAACTAAATAATGAAAATCAATAGTACTGTATACAGTGAGATATACATAAATATAGATATGCACAGGGATATAGAAACAAATATCATTACTTTTTGTACATAAATTATACGAAGTACTTATTTATAACTAAATTAATACCAAGTTATTTGATAAATTACTGTATTTTCGTATATTTACGGGGTATAATTGTCTTTTTTTTGTGTTATTTTCTATATTTTCTTGTAACTTTTATATGTTCAAGTGCAATGCCAATTCAGTATCAGGAATTTTTGGGCAAATCGGGGCGGTATAACGTCCACAGATGGTTGTACTGTTTTTTAGAATAGAGCACTCGTGACTTGGATCTAAATTGTTAGGACGTAAAAATCTCCATCTAAGGTTTTAACTCTGGAGAGTCCAACGTAAACCTATTAAATATAGAGGAGGCTATGTAATAGTAAAGGACTGCCAAAACTAAGGCCTTATGATTTGCAATCACATAGTAATAGCATATGTTAAGCAAATACGGAATTGTTCTCTATCAACATATACATTATTTAATATCTGAAACTTCGTATTGACACGTTATAGTTGTAAAGACGATTATGTAACAAATTGACTGTTATCTATTGAATTCTCAAGAAAACAATTTGTTACCAATGAGTTCTCATTCTCGAATTAACTATACATTCCTACTTATAACTATACTAAAATTGTTATTAATTTTTGGTTTAAATATTTCTATACCATACGTATTTACTAAAATAATGTAATAATAATATAATCACAAATAGTATAATTTAAGAAAGCTATAAATTTAGTAGCATAAATCGCAACCTTATAGGTTAGATATCGAGAAACAAAACATTGAGACATGAGGGCGGCTGCCAATATCTCGGACAGGTTCGCGTCAACGTTTTATCGCAAGTTTTCCCACAAAATGAAGCGCGCTTTATATACCGAATTATTTTATTATTTAATAATTATTTATAAAAATAATGATTTTACACTATCGATGTACGCTAAATATTGAAACAATAATTAATACCAAATCTCAGTTAATAACATAATAAAGTAGTTATAAGTACGAGTATATTTTAGACAGAATCTAAATTATAGCAACTAGTGTTTACCGCTCAATGCAATATTTGAAGTTTGCTAGTTATCGACACTGATGTGAAGGGGTCAACGTAAATTGGTAATGATCGACGTTTTCATACAATATTACTTTCCGTCCAGTACAAGATGAGATTTTTCGCCAGGGATCAATGTCAATTGGTGGCTATCGACGTTTTCATAGAATTTTAGTATTCGTCCAGTATAAGTTGAAATAGAATCAATTAAAGTGAAAAATTGTAGTAAAATGATAACAATTTACCAGTTTCAGATTTTTTCCTTTATATTCACCTAATTATCTATCTGCATACCAAAATTGAACTTCCTAGGTCATCTGGAAGTGGGTTATAATTTTGATCTATAGTTGATCAGTGATAAAAATGACGATTTTTGGACATTAATATCTAAATAACGGTTTGAGATATGTTTATGAAATTTGGAACACATATTTATCTCGCAAGTCTCAAGATATGAACCAAATTTGACAGGTTTGTGTGAAAGAGTTTTTGAGTTATGAGGGGGTCAATAGTGGCTCCAAATGGTTCGTGTAAATATACACACGGTGCTGCAGGCCAGTTTACATGATTATGTATGTATCGGCTTGATACGCTGCCGCGTGTCTAGATATGTAGCAAATTTGTTAGTATAATATAAAAGGTATTTTATGATATGAATGTTTAAGAAAACAATAATAAGAGACAGAGAGATAGTCATACGGATTGTGGGTACGGATCTCTGTTCCTGGTACAGAGATATCTTACCAGATACTCAATGACCTCTAAACTTATCACTTTAGAGGCCTTTGTTGAGTAACTGACTAGAGTAACTAACTAATAAATATTATTAGTGTTAACTAATGTTATAAAATTTCAGTGGTCGGAAATAAAAAAAAAGAATAATAAAGATTCTGGAATAACGTAACGTCAGCTCAAATATTTAATTAATAGTAAAACAATTCTGTGTTGAGATATAGATATAATGTTAATTAGAGAGAGAGAGCGCACTAGAAACACTAGAATTGGTAACAAAGATAACTGAGGTAAGTAAAAATCCAAAATGTTGAGGTAATGTGTGCCTTGGATATAATGTATAATATTAATTAAGTAATAAAAAGGATACTTATCTAATATTATAAGATATTTCTAAAGGTCAAATATAGTACATACCCGTGGCAATCACACACAGGAGCAATGAGGTCTTCATTATGGTTTGGTAACAAATCATAGAATATTGTGAGATGCGTTGCTTTATATAATTGTTTAACTTTAAATCAATCTTATCAATGTTGTTGATTTGCAATTGATAAGCCCATGTATTATTTTTAAATGAAACTATAATCTGTAGATATATACTAAACTGACACTGACCTGTGGTCTGTATATAAAAATAATATATTACACGTACAAAAGGTACGATAACAGAACAAAAGTACAATAAACAGTGACATTGTAGTTAATCTTGTTCATGCAACCTTAAAAAGTAAGTGCTAAAGTACCTACAATTTAATATTAACCAAAGACTTAATATCTAATAATGTTTATGCTGAATATTTTTTTACTTGATTATTTTATTTTGTGTGGCATTTAGAAATAATAACCGGTATATTGTAGTATTTATAATTATTAACAATACTAAACTGTGTGTGTCTTTTTGTTTAGTAGTTAGTCTGAAAGGATCTCTACGATATGTGATATAAAAATATATGTATTTATTAAAAATGCAATGCTTCAAAGTTTTATTTCAAAAAAGCGGAAGTCGTGAGTAAATACTAGTTAATTTTATTATTGCTGTGGCAATAGTTTATCTGATAGTAGCGGGCTGTTTAGTTCACTTTACTGTTATATACTTGAAAACAACCATTGAAGACAAAAACCTCGATATATCAGTCAAACCTTATACAGGTATGACTTATCTGTCGAGGTTTTAATGCTGTGGGTTGCAAGATTGTACCAATTCTAGACCATGAAAATAGAGATAATGTTTTTTAAGGCTCGATATCTAATATATTTTGACTTTTAGAAATTGCATTCTCATATCAAATGGCTTAACCTAGTCAAATAGTTTATTAAACTAGACAATACCATGTAAAGTCATCATTTCGATCCCCATATCATTTCTCAAACGGAGATTGATGTCACGACGGCCTGGTAGATGACGGTCACATTGATTATATTTTAGTTAATTAAAAAAGTCAATTGTTTGAATTGGTATTCAAATTAATACAAAAATATAGATTTTATAAATTCTTAATATTATATTTTTTCTTTATTCATATGCATTGTATCGTGGTGTATGTTATTTTTGTTAATTATATTGGAAGTCTATTGTTATTGTGTACCTATCGTATTTCTAGGTAGTCGCTGAATAAATTCTATTTTTTTTTTATTTGACGACTTCGGTGGTCTCGGTGTTTAGCACGCCGCTTTACGTCCGATGTTCGTGTGTTCGATTCCTCGCACGGCACAAACATTTGTATTCATAAATGTGATTGTTTGTATCGGTCTGGGGTTTTCCATGAATATTATGTATGTATTTACGAAAAAAAGATGTATTTATATCATTTACCTAATACCCAAGCTTTAGCTAGCTTATCTTGGGTCTAGATAATAAAACTCTTTATTGTTTTATGCACAATAAAGAGTAACAGTAAAGAAACAAATAATTACAAAAAAGAAATAAAAAATAAAGATATGCAAACAAAAGGAGGCCTCATCGCTTAAAGCAATCTCTTACGGACAACCAGGGAGGTAGAAGCATTGGGCAAGGGAAAGGTAGGTAACGCATTATAAAAAGTTAGATATTATATGAATACTAAATACATATACATACAAATACTATACAAATAAATAAAATACACATACAATTTATATTTGTTTATTATTATTATTATTTGTTATGTTTAGTATTTTGTATGGAGAAGAATATGGAAATTGCAGACAAACTATGTTCGAATGAGAATGATTTTTTTTACAATATAACACTGCTTATTCGTTAGATACGTTGATGACCCATACAGGAAATTTTTGATTAGAATCCACATTACATGCAATGACTATCGATGTTCATTTATCATACATAAAAACAAAATGATTACCCCCAGTAGATACTCTGACTCTCTTTATTGTACAAATTAATTATTAATCGTTTTTAATATCTGATAAAACTCGTAAGTTGTTTACAGAGCTATGATAATATTTTTTTTAATTATAGTCAATCAATGCAATCATATTCAGCAAACAAAAATCAGTAATATTATGTGTATACCTAGAGTTCTTTTTAAATTTTGGTAATGGGTTTGTGTTGCCAATGCCACAATAAACGGAGAAAAGGACTAATAAATATGTATGAATAGGTATATGAACTACGGTTTTTGTTATTAAACGAAGTTAATAATTAAAGTTTTTTAAGGAGTTAGTTACCATATAAACTTTATCACAATGCTGAAAAAATATTTAATTTAAAAAATTTACTCATCATTTTTGCATATTTTCGCTTATAACTTCACTAATTTGTCAGCCTACATAAATCTGTATAATATTAGTTAAAAATCAATTACTGCTAGTTTAAAATATTTTTAGTAAATTGTGTAGTTTATATAAAACCGTCAAATTACAATACTACTCAAAACAAAATTTCAAGTTTTCTAGAAGACAATGTATGACTGGAAATAAAATTCCCTGTCTGTCCATTACTGTTTCATGGTTAAAAGACTGAGAGGATCTCAATTAAAACTGACATGACGTTTGCTTCAATCACGAGGTTATATATGCCGTAAAAGCAGAAATGAGCATACAAAATTGCTTGGAAAATCTCATATTATAACAGACTAGAAAGAACTTGATGAGCCTGGCCGTGGACTCCTTAAAATATTTGTTGGTTTACCTTGTAAACTAGTGCTGTAATTTGCTAAAAATGATTAATTACGATTGATTTAACTTCAATTGATAGATAAGATATCAAATGGTATTATGAATTGATAAAATAGAGCTATCGTGTCAAAACAAATTTGAAATCGGGTTTAAATATTTAAAGAGTTTTTAAGATACTTAATTCCTTGCAAATAACAATGAACAGAAGACAGAGTGGTAGGCAAATAAATAGTAAAAAGCGTATGTATTTAATTGCAATCAATTTTATATAATCCGCATATTTATTTTATTTTATTTATTTCTTAGTATATTTGATGGAATAATATCAATATGCATGAGATCTCCATTTTTTCTGAACAACCTGATAGTGGTACCACGGTCATAATATGATGACGTATGCTGTTCCTGTAAATTGATGACGGTTGATTAAATAGGATCAAAAGTTAAGGCCGGTAGCATAGGAATAACGAATAGTTACATTAAAACGTTATGTTACATCAATTTAAGGTATCTTTTTCTCTTTCTGTCTTCAAAACTAATTATATCGTCATCAAATTTAAATATACCTACTAGAGATTTCAATTTGAAAAACATTGAAATTTCAGATAACAGAACTATTTTAAATTGTTTACGTGGGACATTAGCGTAGTTAGTCTATGCCGGCGAAGTCACGGGCTCAAATAGTATATTTTAAAAATGATTTTTGGACTTTTAATACAAATGGTGCGGTGACTACATTGACAATTACGTCCTATTTATTTTTGTAAACATAAACAATTTTATCACAACATGTGATATGTAATTTCCTGATACTATCAAGGATATTTGGATTATAGATTATTAATATGTTTTGAAAGCAATGTAATTTACTCCCAATTGCTTGAAAAATGATTTTGCAATCTGATGAATATTAAAGAAAAACAATACGTCACTCAGTACCCTAGGTATTCTACGAAATGGAGTAACAGCATATTTTTTAAAACTAACACGACAGTAATATGAGTTTTTTACTAAAGAACAACTTAAGTATCTTGGGGTACTTACCAGTGGTATTTTTTTTATTAAAGTCTAATAAGTTATTGTTTGTGGCATAAATATTATATTGAATAAAAGATTTTTTCTAGAAAAATTTTGACTTTTTTATTAAAACCTTTGTCATATATACGCTCTACGGCGCTGCCTGCGATTAATATAGCTCCTGATACTCTCTGATCATATATATATACCAATAGGTGGAGAGAATTATAAAAATCGGTTTAATAGTTTTTTCTATAGTACTTATAATTACAAACAATATATCTTATAATATTAATGTACACTCTAATCAGATTAAAATTTGAATTGGAGATTTATTTAACTATGTCAGAAAAACTTCTTTCTCTATCAATGTATCTATACCAGGTTTATCATTTTTTCATACTCCACTATTATATAGATTCGTCTCAGGTTCTATAAGGTTTATTAGAAGGTGTTGATAAGAATTATTAATATAGATTAGTAGAAAGAGTAGTTGCTGCTTTTAAAAATATATGATTGCGTTAAGAGGCAATAAATAAAGAATAAACTTTACTACTATACATTTTTTATATTACGATGGTGACAAACAATCATAGGGCCCGTAGTTTATAGGCGCCGGAAATACCAGGGTTATCACGTGCGGATTGCCGACCTTTAAGAAACTTTAATATACACTTCATGAAAACCCCCATGCGGTAGGGTCGTGAGAAAACCTCGGCAGGTAGTTCATTTTGTAGGGGTAGAATGTACAGTGGCTGTAAATATAGCGAAATATAAAAGTAAAATATGTATATTTGGTAAAAGTAACATGGCTCACAACAACATGTCAATAGGAAAAATTCGCGAACAACAGAAGACATTTTTAAGTATAAAATTCAAGTTGTCTTCTATCAATCAAATCTATTTCAATAACGGCCAGATATAAATTTAATAAGTGTAGTTGTATATATTTTGCAAATCAAACAATAATACCGCATAATGCCAATGTCAAGCAACCGATAACAATATAATTATTACGTTGGCGGTCCTTCTAAAAATCGTAATTATTGTAATACATCGACCTTGTATTATCAATTTTAATTGTGGCTTTGTAACATATATTCAATGCTTTAAATCTTATTACAATTATAGGGTAATTAATGAGTTTTACAAACAAAAACTGTGCTATTTATTTAAATAAATAGAACATTTTCCCACAAAGATTTGAGACTATTAAATGTCAATGTTATAGAAACTTTTAAATATTTTATTCTGTTGTTGCTGTTGATCAAAGGATATTCTGTTGCTGTAAGCTTAGATAAATATTTCACATTTGTTTGTTACTATTTGTTACCATTTCACATAAAAACTATTAGACGGATTGGAATGATTGAGAATAATGAATTGGTACGCAGATAGATAAAATCCTAGATTGCTGATATTTTCTTCATAGCATTGAGGTCCAGACCCAGACCCTCCCTGACATAAATGCAATAGTCATAAGTTTAAAACTCTGTAGGGATATCATGTCACGTCAACATTTATGAGTATGATTGTTTGTACTAAGCGTTTTTATGTATATTATGTATGTATTTACAAAAAAATGTACCTACATTTCATCACTTTTTAGTGCATATATCATAAGCTCTATTTAGTTCGGGACTCAATGGCGCTGGAGATGGTTACAATACATACTTTATAGTAAGAAAAAATAAATAAACTAAGGGTAAAATAAATGCTAGTAATAATAGTTATTTGTAATAATAAAGTTATAATAAAATCGCCATCTATTATTTTAATAGTTAAAATACAAACCTACAATCAGAGACGGTTCGTCTCATCACGATTTTATTGTAAGTATATAAAGATATGTATATCTTTATTTGTATAAAATGAAGTTATTTCCGCTGTCTTTTCGCTTAGAACTTTTATACTATGCAACGGATTTTATTGGGGTTAATTGTTAATAGATATAGTGATTCAAGTAAAAAGTATATGATACAATTATATATAATTGGCAAATTATCGCATAAAGGTATGCAGTAGAATTAATATGAGCTAAAAATAAATTCAATGATTGATAATCACATTTCGGAATCGGCCCCCTATGTTTAGGTACTATAATCGGAACAGGTGTTTCGCTGTAGGTTAGTATGCTGATATGTACGATAATTAATTATCAGGTTGATATGCGCCTTGTTATTATCCTCACTGATATTTTATATGTCTAAATAAATGAGTTTGTTTTTTTGAGTGTCATTTGTTTTTTAATAATAATAAAGATGGTATGATCATTATCATCGTATGATACATTTGCCCGCGCTAAAGATATACGCAGATGTGGTCAGTAACATGTAAACATGGTGTTATCAGGCGATGATTAAGACAGGTCAATTAGCATATTCTGGTCAGTAGTAGTAGTCAGTGACCTTCTCTAGAATCCATCATGATGGTTTCCAGAGAAGTTCAGGAGGTTGACTTGATATTGCTACTAGTCTGCGTTTTCAAAAATTCCTTCTTTCACTTTTCACATTTGCTTATATGTCACAAAATTATAAATATTTATTCTTTGTTTCTATCTTTTATCTACTAATAATTTATTACTTAATTCGTAGTATTTTTATATTTTAAACTAAGATTTAATTCCCGTGCATATATCACGGGAATTAAATCAAATTATTATGTTTTACTTTTCGACAATTGTTTCGATTTTTTCAGAAAGTCTTCTTTAGTTGTAGTATGGTGTATTCAATATAAAATAACGTCTCGCATTATATTTAATATAAGTTTTAAAAATTATGTACTCCTCATGTAATTATAATTGAAAATATGCAAAACATACGTTGCCATTCTTGAGTACTAAGGTACTATATAAGGTTTAATGTTCCATTTACTTAGTACAGTTTGCCAAAGATAATGATGTATAAAAACAATGAGATAAGCTTTCTATTGATATTAAAAAGTAGTGGGATCCCCTAATGCATAGCCTAGCGTGAATTTTTAGAATTAAACAATCTTAAATATTAAACAACTAGGCTATGTATCTATTTAATATATTTATAGGATATTAGTCCATCCTGCTGTTAGATAGTGATTGAGTGAAAACATCCAAGTATTGAAAGTTTCGAAATTCTTTATAGATTTTCATATAATAGATGTGAGCAATATTACACGACTACATACATACATATTTCTTCAGTAATTGTACCTACATGAATAATAATATCCACATAATCAGCGAATCAATCATGTCAAAGGATTATGACGTATATGATTACATTGGTAATCATCTGAATTCAACTGATTAAAATGGATATTAAATTTATAAATAATTATTGTTTATTTAATATTATAAAGTAATAGTTTAATGCCCCCAGTTAGCCGGATAGCGTAGATAACTGTTATCACAGACCCCCTAATAGTTTTACATTGAGATATAGATACATTATTTGATTTAGAACTTAATTAAAGGTATACGTGGATACTGGATGACAAATAACTACCTTCTCATATATAGGTACTTTAACAGCATCACGTCAACCTGTGACGCTCGTGGTACTAAGGTATTATCAGAACCTTGTAATATCACTGCCATATTCCACGTTTCAACTGAAATACATTTGACAAATTAACTTGCTTTGCGGCTTAATAAGGGCAGAGGTACCGAACTAGACGTTTTTATAAATAAAAATAAATTGTTGGTAGACTTTGTACAAAACAAAATATACTAATAATCTATTTATTTATAAAATAATATAAGCTGAGTACCACATATCAGTATAATATCGACGCTGTCTGCATTGGTATTATGTGTGTACAGTTTAAGGCAAGGAATGAACTGTGCACATAATAACAGTAATATAGATTCTAATTTACGTTAATAGTTTTTATTTTTGGAACTAAAATTTTAGCAATAGTTTCACGTTTTAAACTTTGATCTACACAATGCAGCAAATTCAGAAAATAAAACAATTGCGTGTGTCTCTCGACAGTACAAAACTGTTTTAGTCCAGTGATGCTTTTATTTTAATAGTGTACATGTTAAACGCATAAGTGATATATTCATTTATTATGGAAAAGTTATTTTATACTACATGATTTTAATAGTCTTATATAAAAATACAGTAATATGAAGATACAATAATCCGACGTATAAATAGAACGCTAGAGGTCCCTTTACACTAACTGAAATTTAAATAATAAATAATTATAACAACTAACAACAGCATTCATCTATCTTGAATGCTGTTGTTAGTTGTTATAATTATTTATAATTATTTACACGTCCATATTCTCACAATAAAGAAGTTATTACTTTACGAATGAAGTATACAAACTTAGAACGAACGGTTGACGATTTTCTGTTAGAAGTTTAAGTAGATACTGAAGTTTTCAGTTCATACGGTCTGTTGAAACTTGGCTTGTAAATATGACATCTTATCTTATTCAAAAATGTTTATTTAGATCCTACAAAATGATCAAACTCAGAAAATATATCATGTTAAATATTTTACGTTAAGGATTATTGCAACACTAGAGGAATAGTAGGTGCATTACTGGACTTTTGGAGCGTATACCTTATACTTTTTTATATTAGGTATAATGTTCATATCTACTCTGAAATACTTCCGTTACGAGTTCATTTTATAAATATGAAACTATTATTCTTTATATGGCGTGGAGCTTTTTAAAGTCCGTAAAGTGTTTTCTTTTTCATAAACATTTAGAAAACTATATTCATGCTTTAATAGTGACTCGCCCTGTCTTCGAACGGGAAGTAAAGCATATTAGCTAGAGTGGACGATCGAGCGCAGGTCTACAATCATAAAAGCGCTAGAATTTATTTTCTACCGCGTCGTTTTAATTTACATCTACTCTTAAGATATTAATTTAAATTGATTAGTATAAAGAGTAAATAGTAAGTATGAAGTTATTAAGGTAACTAACATATTTAATTTATTTATAATTAATTAACTATCCGTTTAAAAATAATTTGAAGCTCACAACAGAGATAATAACAGTGAAATATTACTAATTAATGTGTATAAGTATCTGGTTCTAAATCATGTACCTGTTTTCTTATCCAAGAAATCTGATAAAGATATACTTAAACTTAAATTGTAAGTAAGAATAAAATTATTTGAAAGAGCAACACACAAGTTTCCTGCTTGTTCTTCTTGTGATGAGACAGTTTTCCGAATGAGCGGTAGATTAATAAAAAATGTGATGACTATTCAAAAGTGCTTCAATGTAAGTTTCTTTGAATAAATGATTTCCTATTCTATTATATTCATTAAATAAAAAGGTGAACCTTCTATTCATGCATTTATGAATTGTCAAATAATTTCAGATCTTTATTAACCTATTTTAAATATGATGAGAATTTTTTTGATTTACTAGTAGTAGGAACACAAAATAAAACTTATTTTTTTTTATTATTATTTCATTTATTCAGCACTTTAATCAACAAATTTTTTTCATTCGTTCTATATTTAGAAAGGATATCTTCTGCCTGTGTTAACACGATAGAAACCAGATCTGAAAAAGAAAAAGAACATATTCGTAAGGTCTGTGGTCGGGTCTAATACTCTTCATAATAATTTTTTAAAAAGAGATTAACAAAAATCATATCCCAATATATCGTAGAATTTATATCTAAACAAATTAATAACTTCTATAATATAGCTTCTTTTTATTAAAACATATAAATACATCCATGATTTTGATTTAAAATAATTATTTAATTTTATGCCGAAATTATGAGAAACTAAGTTTGTCATATATGAACATACTGATCGTTAAATTTAAAACATAAATTAAAATGAAAGTAATTAATAAAAATGAAATAATTTCAATAATTTTATGTACAAAAAGAAGAATAATGTAAAAAATGTTCTACATACCCAGTTTTAGTTAAATCATCATTGCCCAGATTGAATGGTGGACCTCGGCAAGAGTTGAGAGTGACTTGCATGCTGCTATAACATTCAGCGCCTATCAGGTGATTGTATGTGACGCTAGCACCAAACAGTTCCCAGGAACGGTCATGATCGCACAAGAAGGTCAGACAACCAGGCTGGGACCTGCCACCGTTGGGGAAGAAATCAACGTTGGCGACAATACTGCCAATACCAAGACCATCGATTCCACCATTGGTATGGATAGCCTCAACGTAGATACCGTCGTTTTCTGTGATCTTGTTATCGTTGTAGTGCCATAGAGGACCAGCAGGGTCCAAACCTGTATAATGAGAGAATTAATTAATAAACGACATTTGTAGATATCGTAAAGAAATATTATTATATTGATTTGTTTTAAGAATATTTATGAGATAAGTAGACATTACTAACCAGTAACGCGAGCTACTCTTCCTTCGAGTTCCCTTCCAGCGTTGCCCACAATGTGTGCACCCAAACTGAAGCCGGCCAGATGAATGGACTCATAAGGGATACCAGTTACAGAGATGAGGAATCGGACGAACTGTCCCAAACCAACACCAATGTCTGGAACTCCAATAACTGCTGTTACGTAGTTGGACAAAGCCAAGCGTCTCCAGTCCAAGACAATCACGTTGGCAGGGCCTTTACCCAAATAAGCTGGAAAGAAATGTCATTTTTTATGGATTATTTAATTTTATGCAGTTATCATGTTATTAAATCTAAAATATATGCATAAACAGATTTTAAATAACTACTGTAATGTAATAGAAAGAACCAAATACTTGAAGAACTATCTAAATATAATATGATTTACCGTCTCTGACAGTTGGGTTGATACCAGCATCCTGACCGCCAAGCCACCCGTGCACAATCACGATGGTGTTGTCTTCAGGGTTGAAGTTTGAAGTCACAATAGATTCAACATTGTTGATGATCAAAGTTTGTGCCTGAGTAGGATTGTTTCTGTAAAAGTATCACGTGTTGTATTAGTGGTGTAATTTTTAGTAGTTGGCGGGATTAAGAGTTTATATTTGTAAAAATACAGTACTTTTGATTATTTTAAAAGGACTGGTAAAAGAAATATGTAATTGTAGCATGTTGTGTTAATATTGTTTTCCATATCTTCAATAATTACAATAAATACAATAAATCTATAAATAAGGAGTTGACGTCACGACTTGGTGCATGCATGCTATTATAAATATTGATTGATTTTGAAAAAGGCAAACATATTTGACTATAAACGACGACGAAAGAGATGATCAACGTTTTCATTTTGTATCACATATTCACTTGGTACCAAGTTAGTCGTAGTAAGATAATTTTGTCTTTTGTCTCTTCATCCCTTACAAATATAGGACTAAGCATAAGAATTGGTTACAACTGACCTAGTAAACAATAAGTACAGGTTATTTGCGGGATCTCTTTGAATTTCTTCTAAGAGGGCGTGATCAGGTTCGGCTTGTAAGTCAGCAATTTGAGGTAGGCCATCGCCATCGGGGAAGGTGACAAATCGGGGGTATACTCCAAGCTCCTCCTCCTTAATGGGGACCGCAGTGGCGATGTAAGCTGAAAATTAAATTGAAATGAATATAAGATTAACGTCATAGATTTGCTAACATCCCATGTTTTAGTAGGTGCAGTATATTATCGATACCATTGATCCTTATACGACCATTATTTTTACTAACTAAATGCATACATAATATATGAAAAATTAATAAATCTCTAATATAATTAATAAATCACATAATATAATTTAAATAATTCATATTATAAAATGAATTATTTAAATTAATTTGTTGCATTAATGTTTTTTAATGAAAATCAAAATTATTATTAAAATCAAACAAAAAAGGATTAATTAATGAATATATATTTCTGGTATATGGAGTATTTATAATTTGATTACTTAATTTATATGAGTAAATAGAGATTTTGTAATAGAAATTAGAATTTAGATTTGTTTTTCATATAAATTAAAGCACATACCCGTAGTGATGACACACAGTAATAGAGATGCCTTCATCTTGCTTTTTTAACAAAAGTAATGCACTATTGTACATTCAGCAGCTTTATATAATATTGTTTTTGAACCTATAAGTCTCAATCTTATCTATAAAGATGATTTGCTATTGATATGTACATAATTCTTGATAATACATTAATATATAATAATATCTATGTATATGTAATTATAGACTGACTTAAACCGAGTCTTTACTCGCTTGATTGGTCGAATAATATGTTATATTGGGTATGTATGATATGTGGAATTCTAATTCACTATTCAAATTCAACATAATAATTCAAACATACGCGTGATGATGATTATTGTTCAATTAAAAGTAATTGATGATTTGGAAATCTAGAAACTACTATCGCTACTACTACAATAATATAGGTATTACATTCACGCGAGGTTATATTTTCTGGAAAGTTATTATTAGATGAAAGGAAGTTTAATATATTTACGGTAAAACATATTCAATGGACTATGATTCTCTTATGTAATATGTAGCTAGTATATTACTAAGTTATCAGTATATCTTTGTACTAAAATATACATAGTACTAAAATGTGTTAAAACAAAATATAGTGAATATTAAAAAAGTCAATGAGGCATGTTTTATTTTATCGGTCTCGAAATATCTCGGTATCGAGATATCAAACAGACCTATTTGTATGTACAAGATATCGCAATTGCATCTCAACACAAACAAATGAAAGCTTATACTCTTACTCCTTTTAGTGCAACAATTATTTTTTGATCAGGAGGTAGAATAACAATATCGGTTAAGGTACCTTAGTTCAGTCAATTTTCATTATTTGTTCAACTCTCGAATATTATACGGATACCATTATTTACTGATAAATTAATATGTTGAATACTATTAAGGATACAATTTATATATTTTATATATAATCAACAGTGATTTCAGAAGAACAGTTATTTATAAACTGTATGCTTAATAGTATTAAGTAAAAACATTGTTTTGTTGTGTCAATGTTTGAGTACGCAAGTCAAAGATGTATATAATATTATGTAAAAATTCACAAAAATCACAAATTATAATTAATCTTAGATAAATTATTTATTTATATATGGTATCAGAACTTTTTGTATATTTATAGGTAAATTATCAGATATTATGTATATTCTTTTAATAATTACGATTTAAAAACATAAGAAAACCTATTTTTGCTAATGTATTATAATACGCCACCAATTATTTATTATTAATTTAGGAATAATATAATAACTCGCGCTGTATACATATTTTCTATATATTTAGTTTAATTATCATTCATAGATAGTATCAGTAAATGTAGATAGATAAATAGATAAAACTTATTAGTAACTTATTTGCGTTACGGGTGCACACACAAGGTACTACGTATACTCGTATACAGAAAAAAAGTAAATACACAAATACATGGTTCAGTTAATAAAATACAGTATATATACCAAAAACGTGTGAGTAACGGAGTGTGTGTGTGCATTGCCCATACATAAAAAGACAGAACCTCAGTGTATTATTTACTCGTGCAACAAGCCTCGTGATTTGCAGATATTGCCCAGAGACCAAGGACGCATGGAAGAAGACCACGGCTAACCAGCCCTATTACTATAACACTATTATAAGTAGCAATAATAATAAAAATCAGTGTCAATAACAAAAATGGTATAGATATACTTATAATACAAACTAAATTAAATATATATATATATATATATATATATACATTTTTTTAAAAATTTTTGTTTATTTTCTATACTAATATTACAAAGAGGAAAGATTTATATTTTTGTTGGTATGTTTGTATTGAATAGGCTCCAAAATTACTGGACCGATTTGAAATTTTTTCACCATCAGGAAGCTACACTATTCCTGAGTAACATAGCTTATATTATATTTCCAAAAAAATTAGGGATCTGTACTAAAACTCTAATAATGTAACACAAGGTATACAAATATCACATAAAAAATACCTAACAGCGCGTGCGCTGTAAAAAGTATTGATGACAGAACAAAATGATGTACTACGACTTTGTAGAACACATCATTATCTATAAAAAGTATCGTGATGGCATGTGTCCAACTATTATAGTTATGTCACAATAAGTGTTCTTTTAATTTATAAATTTAATTAAAATGCCGCCGCTGGAACAAGCCCTTTATTTGTAACTTGCTATTAATCCTTATCAAAATAAATATTCATATTTCATATTCACGACTGGTTCAATACCTTTACATAACTTTTTGAACATATGTAGTGTAGCTATGTAGGGGCAATCAGGGAAGATAGCGATAGCAGTTACTTTGGCAGGAATTGCTGCACCTATATATACCTTGACCTCGAGAATTTGCTCGAAAAAGGCTTTCATTGGTTATATTCTAGAGTAATTGTTTCACCTAGTAATGATACTCTCAACGAAATAAACAAAAATTACAAATCAAGCCGACGGGTAGCGGGGCCCAGATGGGGAATTAACCCCAAAATTGCCCTATGGCTTTACACAGCAGTGGTGAGGCCGCTTACCACCTATGCCTGCGCAATCTGGTGGCAGAAAACCCTCCAATCCACAGCTGCCACCAAGCTAAACAGCCTACAGAGAATTGCTTGTCTGATTATTACAGGATATGAGCACCACGCCGGGAGCAGCTCTAGACGCATTATTGGACTTGACGCCCCTTCCTTTATTTATACAGGAAAAGGCGAAAGCCAATATGCTGAGAATAAGTTTATCTTGGCATTCCCTGGCCATAAAAACTATACAAGACTCGATAATGAGTGATCCTATTCTGGGAATGCCTGAAGACAACATGGCACCAGAGTGTAACTTTGTACAATATTACAAAATCGAAATATCTGGAAGAGACGAATGGCAAAATAACCATACACCGACTCACTCAGAGCATGACCTAGTCTGGTTTACAGACGGGACCAAAATAGGAGATGATGTAGGATGTGGAATATGCGGTGTAAAACCCAAAATCTGCAACTATATAGGCTTAGGAAAATACGCCTCAATCTTTCAGGCAGAGACTTACGTCTTAATTAGATGTCTGGAAGTAATCCTAAGCCTCAACTACATCAATCAGAACATATACATTTATTCGGACAGTCAAGCTGCTCTACTAGCACTTAACTCGTACGAAATCCGTTCTAAACTTATTAGAAACTGTATCCTGCTACTAAATGAAGTAGGAAGCAGAAATAATATTATACTGAGATGGGTCCCCGGGCATTCAAATATTGAAGGCAATGAGAATGCCGACCATCTGGCAAAGTTAGGGGCAAAAACCGTCCAACTGGGCCCCGAACCCTTCTGTGGCGTGCCTCGTTGCCTAAAACTGGGATATCTCAAATTAATAACCAAACGAGAAGCACTGAATCACTGGCAAGAAATGCCAGGATTAACACATTCAAAAGACCTAATATCGGGCTTCTCGACCAAATACTCCAATAGACTACTGCTATTGAGTAAAATCAACATATGCATGATGACTAGGGCCCTCACAGGACACTGCAAATTAAACAAGCATATGGCTAAACTAGGCCTATGCACGACAAGTATCTGCAGATTCTGCCAAACTGAAGAGGAAACGCCGCTTCACATCCTATGTGGTTATAGCCCACTCATGCATAAACGAAATATCTCCTTTGGAAAGTTTACACTCTTTCCCGAGGAGATAAAAACGATCGCTCCTAAGAATATCCTTCAATTCTTGTCCCTGACGGGTCTAGGTAGCGAACTCTGAAAAGGGCGAGCACAATAGATCTATGTAGGTCGCAGTGCTACAGGTGCTACTCATCTGACAATAGCCCAAACAATCCAATAAAAAAAAAAATAGTCCATATAATTAGCTAAGATCAGATAAAAATGTAAAATGCAGTAAAAATATCCACCCGTGCGAAGCCGGGACGGGCTGCTAGTATTATATAAAATACAGAGTACGTACATATTATTTTTAAGGAAGTTTGGGCTATTTTCAGTTATTTTTGTTCCTGTAGTACTGCGACGTACCTTACCTTACCTACGTAGTTTAGTCCCGTCAGGGAATAGATGTATCAACAATATTAGTTATATATATACAAGCCAGGTATTTTTGACGGCCTCGGTGGTCTAGCGGTTTAGCACACCGTCTTACTTTCGATAGTCGCGGGTTCGATTTCTGACACGACACAAACATTTGTATTCATGAGTATGATTGTTTGTATCGGTCTGGATGTTTTCTATGTATAATATATATATATATTTTTTCGAAAAAAAAATCTACGTATTATTATCAGTTATGTAGTACCCATAACACAAGCTTTAGCTAGCTTAACTTGCACTGTGTGAATTGTCCTGTGACTATTATTTTATAAATGTAATAATAAAATACATATATTTAATAGAGTTTGCTTATATTTAATTCTATAAAATATGTCGCTATTATTATGCCAAGAAATGTAAGTTGTAACATGACGTCGAGTGTAATTTGGTTCAGGCAATTCTAGTCACTAAAATGTCCAGACAGAGGTTTTAGCGTGATAGCCGGCTTATTGAAATAAAATTTCATGTCTCTTTAATGTAATTTAACTGAGTGTTAGTGAGTCTGAGCGTACCTACAACCGAAACACAGGATACAAAGCGCGCTGTTGTGTGATTGATATAGTAGTAGCACAGATAATATAGTATTACATAGTAGTAGTACATACACCGTCAGATATATGTATGCATCGGATATATATTACATCAGAGGTGTATGTGTAATATTACTGTTACTCAGGAATATTGGTCATTTAAAATGAGACATATTCAACGTTTAAATTTCAGCCGATATGCCTAATAGAGTCTAAGGTATGCAGATGACTTTTTACAATTTATCTCTGATGGCTAAAGTAATGATTTCTATTGTGGGAACTTGTCTGCTCTGTTGAATTATTTATTCATCAGATCAGACAAGTTACATATTGATATTTTAGTATAAGACGTTCGTACTGTGTTTACTAAGATGTAACTGACTAACTGACAAT